CATTGGCATTCCAAGTTTCGGTAAGAGAGGCAGGCTTGAAACTAGGCCAATACCAAGTACCAATTCCGCGTTCAAACCACTGACAGCGACGCCGTCCGCCGCGGAGAGGTTGTGCGTCCTTCTTACGGTAATTGTTAGTCACAGACGGATGTCGAGGATTCGAGTACGGCCGAACGGATGGTGGCCTACACTAGGACCTGCCCCGAGGTGTAGCTGCCGACGTTCGAACAGAATGACTCCTCCTAACTGGTGCGCTTCCGTGGTCTTGACTGAGTTGGCGCCTAACAACGTCGTGGCAAGCTCACGGCAAGCAAGCAAAGCCGCAACATGATACACACCTATGAGTCATTCAACTACTCATGACTCATTAGGTCTCCATAGTTCGGCGAGGTGTCATTGCCCGGATAGGTATATAGTGGGCCATTGAGATAGCCACTAGTTCCACTATTTTAGTAGTGTCCCTACGGATTCAAAGACTGTGAGCACTTTGCGATCTTACAGTCACAGAAGACAACTCGCGCTGGGAAAACAACTTATAACCGGATTGATCACTGACCATGACTGGGGCGCAATCATATGTAGTATCACACCAGGTCCCTGCCGCTAATGATGTTGAACCTATAAGAATACAATCGCTGCGGTGCTGCCTAGTTGATGCATTGTACGACGACCTACCTAGAGGTTCGTGATTCCGTCAATGCCGCTTTTGTCCAGTGAACTCACCTGTGCTGTTGGGCCCTCTAGCCCGACTTGATGAATTTGCCTATACGATGCCACCACAGATGTTCCTCGCTCTCGTCGGGCAAACCCCATAATTCCTCCGTGCTCCAGCAATCCATCTGCTTCATCCATACGTGTGTCGGACGGTCCAGGCAGCAGCCATCCATCGCAAGGCCCCAGAGCGGCGTCCAGAACCGCTGCCACCACGCGACGTCCGCTCGCGGGCTAAGAACGTGCTCGTAGAATAGCAGCGGGCCCCCGGGTTTCAAGAGGAGGTCAACGAGTGTCCGAACATTCTGCTTTGGGTCGGGGATGGAGCAGAGCGACAGAATGGACGTGATAGTGTCAACCGTGTGAGGCCCTCCCAAAGCAGACATGATCGTCGCTGTGTCTTCGGCGCCGTATGGGAGGATGAGAAGGTTGCCCTCGTCCTCCGTGAAGCCCGCAGCGTTCGCGCGTTTGCGAATCTCGTCGTGCATGAGCTGATTTGGCTCAAGAGCGACGTACTTCGCGACTTTCGCGTGGTCAAAGTACTGCACTGTGTGACCGTAGCCTGTACGAGACATTGAGACTGATTTTCCCCGAGAAATGATATTCTTGACGCACCGGCACCGATGTCCAGTACTACGCCCTGGGCGTTCGCGGTAATGAGACCTTCCTTCACCAATCGCGAGTTCGAATCAAAGCCATCTCCATACGTACTCCATACGTGATGCATGAAGATCCGTGAGATTGCGCGGGGGTGGAAGAGGAGAGTCGGTGAATGCAACACTGCACGGAGTGTCGGAACCAAGGCGAGCTGAAGACATAGCTTCAGCTCCAACGGTACAGCTAAAATCACAGAGAGCTTCATGACTGTTGCTCGTCGAGTGGCGAAGATCAGCCAGATGGACGGACGTATGGAATACTACACGAGTGTGAGAGCATGGTGTTGCGCAGTCAAATCGCGGCGAGGGGCGTGCCCCGGGCATAGCGGGCGCCTGACGAGGGAAGGAGGTCTGACGCAGAGCGGGCGCGTAACTGTCCATCTTCGACCACGACCACTTTCACGCCGGGACGGGCTGTGCGAGGCTAGGGCTCTGCATCGAGGACAACGGTCAGCTCATCGTTTACCCTTTTCTTGGATTCAGTAGAAATTTCGGTGCGTTGAAGCCTCCATCTTCCTCATACAACATACTGACGTTACGCGAACCCGACCGATGGGCACTAGACCTCTAAATGTCTGTTCAGACCTTGATATCGCGGACGCTCCAGCGAGTATGGACCGCCTTCACTTCTGCCGTAGGGCGACTGGACAAGTCGCTGTCGCCGAAGGATACGCTCCGGCGACTCGGCCAACATAAATGGACGTTCACCGACTCCATCTATGTCTTCCACATCGCCCTCGCCACATTCTGGATCAGCATAATGCAAGTGCCAGGCTTCCCGCTCAAGCTCGTCATACCCACTCTCTACGCTATCGCACTCCTCATACCGTTTACCTCGCAATTCTTCATCCCAGCTACCCCGGTGTTTGCGTGGCTCCTCACATTCTACTCGTCGCGCTTCATTCCCGTGGGCTGGCGGCCGGGCATCTCGGTCGTCCTCCTACCGACGCTCGAGTCCGTGCTGTACGGTGCGAACATCTCCGACCTGCTCACACGGTTCACGCATAAGTTTCTCGATATATTCGCATGGCTCCCGTACGGCGTCATTCACTACGTCTTCCCCTTCGTCGTCGCCGCTTTCCTCTGGCTGTTCCGCACGAAGGAGGCACTGCATCTGTGGGCACGGGTGTTCGGCTACATGAACCTCATCGGCGTCCTCATCCAGATCCTCCTGCCCTGCGCGCCGCCGTGGTACGAACTCATATACGGTCTTACCCCGGCCAATTACGGCATGCCCGGGTCTCCAGGCGGCCTCGCGCGCATCGACCGGCTGTTCCGCTCAAACGGATACACTCTCGCGTTCAGCAACTCGCCCGTCGTCTTCGGCGCTTTCCCGTCGCTCCACTCGGCATGCGCGACGTTAGAGGCACTCTTCATCTCGCACTTCTTCCCGCAGTGCACGCGGTACATCTGGACGTACACGGCGGTCTTGTACTGGGCGACCATGTACCTCACACACCATTACCTGATCGACGTCGTAGCGGGCTCGTGCCTTGCCATCGTGTGTTTCTACCTCTTCATCCCCGACGAGCTCAAGGGCACCAACGCCCTCTTGCCTCCGGGCGGGCTGAGCAACACCACCTTTGGCGGAAAGCGGTCGAAGTACGAGCTGTACGACCTCGAGGAGCCTGCGGGGAGACGGGGCCGTGCGAACGACGCGATCATGCGCGACGTATCGGATTACGAGTTCGACTCGGACAGGGAGTCGGACGAGGAGATGGACATCACGTTCCGCTCGCCGATTACGCCCGGCCCGACGTCCGCGACGCCGCTCATGAAGCCGAAGGCGGGCGCGGCAAGCCAGGCGAAGAAGAGCCACCGACACACGGCGAGCATCGCGAGCCTCATACGCGCGGAGGAGCGGGCGGAGGATGGATGGAGCCCGATCAACACGTCGTTCAACGTCCCGCCTGCCCGCGGCAGCGACGACACGCGCGGCGCGCGGTCATAGACTGCACGCGGCTGCGGCTGCGCCGGGGCGCGCGCTGCGGCCTGCGTCATTGGGTTTGTGGTGGTGATGTCTTCATTCGGTGTATCCATGTGTCTCGTTTCTCTCCGCATTGCAGGTAGCCTAGTACTCTAATCAGACGGTCTCTTCTCGCTGTGAACGCTACATTCAGCTTATCCGCACTCGCTCGTTCATCGTAGTATCGATATCTATATCCGAACAGCTAATGTAACCAATAAAGAGGTCGATTGCAGGGACAGCGTAGATATCGTAGTGCGTGGCACGTCCGCCCGAGGCTGAGCATGGTGTTCATGAGTGGCGGAACAGCTTGCGCTCAGCATGACCCTTGTGCTTATTGCTGACATCTTGCGCACACTGAGAGAAAGACGACAGTCCTTCACAAGCATGTATTCGTACAAGAAACTACAAGTGCAATATGAGTGTACTCCGCGCCCATCCATTGGACAACAGTTGACCTCGCCCTGCCTCAATCCAGCTCGTCCACGTCCAGGTCGGAGTAGAAGCGAGCGAACAGAGCATCGTCGTCATCGTACCGGGCGAGTAGTTCAAGTTCGCCGTCATCGAATCGGGCGAACAAGTCTCCGTCATCATAACGAGCGAACACGTCACTGTCATCATAGAAACGAGCCAATAGCTCCCCCTGCTCGTCTTCAAACGCGCGGGCGAACAAATCCTCGTCATCGAAGCGGGCCCAAAGCTCTTCATCGTCCGAGCGGGGCTCGTGGTGTTCACCGTGCGGACCGTTCGGGTGCGGGCGCGTCGGCCCAGGCCCGATTTCGGGGCCTTTATGAACAGCCCGGGTGAAAAGTTCGACGGCCTCATCAACACGAGCTTGCAGGTCAGCCGCCGTCCGGCGATTCATGCGCAGGCGACTGGAGTAGTGACAATCAGCGAGAAACCAGGAGTGACACAGAGGTGGACTCACGGGGCTGCCAGTGCGGGTGCAGCAGTCACAGCGGCGACGATGAGCACGGTGGCGGCAGAGTAGCGCATTGTATGTCTCGTGAATACGGGATTGCAGTGGTATGAAGGGACGGGAAGTCGTTGGGATCAACAGGCTGAGGAAATAGAGACGGTCAGCAATTGTCGCACCGAGGTCACGAAGAAACGTACTATCCAGCACCTGAAGTGAGCTCGAAAAGGAAGGGAGACAGCTGAAGTATCTCGGCCTTGTGTTGGTACTCTATATACCTACGTACTGCCACATGGCGTTGATGATCGAACATAATCGAATACTGTACCGGCGGTATCTTGGGCGGTATCAGCAGGTATCAGCTGTATCAGCCCGCCAGCAATGGCCAAGCGCAGATCAAGCTGTGCAATGAGTTACGATCGTTACTAGGTTCAACACAAACTCCTCACGTGCCGCGCGGAGGAGAACTCGCGCTCGCATACGGCGCGTGTCCATCACGATGACAGCAATTGACAGGCAGATCTAGGCAAATGCATGGACGGCTCCGACGCGAGCGGACCAGTCCGAAGTCGTACCATCATCGTCCGAGTCCCACGCTTCCCCTCCGAGTTTTTTTCCCTGATCAATACCATTCTCCCATACTTATGTATGATGTACTTATGGCTTCCTTACGGTTCCGCAACTAATCGGGCTGAAGACGAGCAATCGGACAGGTAGGTTTCGCTGCCAAAGTTACTCATCAGGACAAAAATGCTCCCGGGCGGGTTCGAACCGTCGACCTCAGGATTGCAGGCACAAGACAACCTTCATACGTCAGTATGAGACCTGCGCTCTTCCAACTGAGCTACGGAAGCACTATATGGCAGCCTAACCAGTTTCAAACAGGATCTAGTTGGCTACTTGTGCAGAAGATGATGTCGATGATGGCGTACTCCGTGAAGTGACTGAACGGTGAGACATCTCAGATCCGCTCCAAAGCGACTCTCCTATTGTGGCTGCTCGCAATCCGAGTCGCGGCTAAGTATAGCACAGTACTATGAATGCCACCTCCTGCTCGAGCTTACTTCCATCTGTGCATGTCCCCAGCCTTATGAGTGAGAATAAGCTGACACTGGCATGCACTTCTGTTATAGACCATCCGGCGCGCCTCCGTGAATGTGATGGCCACTATGCCAGTGCCACCATCCACGGCGTAGCACGCCAGCCAGCCTTCAGTCCTGCTCATTCTGGGTTCGCGAACTTCCTCGGTCGGCCACACTCTGTGTCCCGTCCGTTCGCGAACATGGCGCAATGTGTCGAATATGACCCCGCTAGGAACTCGGGATCTAGGCTCTAAGGACGAATAACGCAGGCGCCCCACCGCAAGTATGGAGACTTCGTGCAGTCTCTCCATGAGAAAGCATCCTCTGTGACGGGGCATCTAGATGACCCGCGGCATCCTACGCGGAAACTATTCGTGCCACGTCAAACGTGGGTCATTGGCCACACCCACTCTCTCTCGCGGAGCGGCCGCTGTGCATCTCAGGCTGTACGACCGACCGAGACCGAGAACGTTACCCAACGCACGTTCCCCTCCTGCGTGGTACGTGTCATGGCCGTCGCGCAACAACGCATGATCCATACATTGACGCCTAGCATGATCTTTTTCCTCTACACAGCACAAACGCTGCGTTGCCGCTCTTCAGCCGAGGTTATGCACCACTCCGCGGTCAGCGCGTCTTCACAGACTCAGAGCGCGACCGGTTTTACAAGGTGGCCGTCCACACTGCCCAGGACCAGTACGTACTAAGCAGCAGTCACCAGTGCCTCGTCCTCGGCGTTTTACCTCGACCAAGGGGCACCGCACCCAGACGGCATGGGGCTATGCACGGTCCACTGTCACTTGGTCGCCCACGTCTTCGCGAACCTCATACGAAGGCAATGACAGGTGCTGGAGCTATTGCGGGTGCTTCCATCGCCAGCGCCATGGATCTCGTGTCTGAGCACGTTGGACAGTGTATTCAACCGCGCAAGTACTCTTTCGAAGGCAGCCTCTTCGGCATTGAGTAGGAGCCTTGCGTGCTGCTCAACGTGCACAAAAGGGGCCGCCCCAAAGGTGTATAAAAGAGGTGCAAAGTCGTAGGACGAGCCCCAGGCAGAGAGACACCCGCACTCGCAGCGTTTCAGCAAGCAACATGAAGGTCACTCTCAGGTAGGCGTCCGCCTCGCCGCGCTTGCCAGCCGCAGTCCTGACGCGGTCACCCGCAGCGTGCTCCTCGCCTTCGTCGCCGCCGCCAGCGCCCTCGTGCTGGACGCGCCGAACAACTGGCACGCCAACGAGCGCGTCACCGAGCGCTGGCAGGAGCAGAACGGCGACCCCGCCCAGTTCGGCCTCCAGCTCGCCGCCGCGAACAACAACAACAAAAACAACAACCGCAACTGGGACGTCGCCAACAACGTCCGCACCGCCAACGAGCAGGTGTCGTTCCAGGTCCCCAACGTCCCCGCCGGGTGAGCGCCTCTCGGGCGCAAGATGTGGGTGTATGCTGGGTGCTAACAATGTCGCTACGCAGCCGCTACTTCTTGCGCGCCGTCGACACGAAGTGAGTGTGAGCTTGAGGATTTGACCGTGGCGGGCTGACGCCTGCTCTGAACAGCAACCAGAACAAGGTCTACGCCCAGACCGCTCGGTTCGACATCGCTAGCGGCAACAGCAACTGAGGCGGCGCCCTCGGCTCCGCTTCATAACTGCGTGTAGGGTGTGTGAATGCGGTAGTTGGACGGCGGTGAATGTACGAAACCTGTGCACAGTACGATCGAATCAAGTGGCGCCACATTTCCTTTGCACTGAATCCTAAGTGCCGTGTTCCGGCAAGTTCAAGCGGCGTCCTGGCTTGCAATTATGCATCAGGTGAGAGGAGTAGGGGTCCTACTAGAGAGTTTGAGGGGCCGGGTATGGAAAGGAGCTACCGACGTCCCGGGATTATTGTGGTGAATTGTCTCTGCGAAAGTATGCCGTGGTCCAGAGCTACCGACATAGTGGAGAATATCGGCGAAGGGACACAATTTCTGAGATCCGGCTGCAAGGGGCACCAAGCTTGCTCGCGAAGCCTTATATATTGGGCGGGCAGTGGCTGACGATTGGGATCGAGGCTGGCACGAGTGATCGTCGGAGAAGCCGATCTGACCTCCGAGTCCGGCGGATCTGGCGGCTGACCGCTTGACGATGCATATAAAGACGGCTCTTACATCCGTGCCCCGAGAGGGCTGGACGTTTTCCATTGGCATGGGTGGAGCAGCTCGAAGACGCGTTGACGACCCGTACATTGACACAGTATCGGCAATTTGTGGTTGAATGCATGGGCTCTTATATACCGCCCCCTGTGGCTGACGAACGAGGCGGGCATGGGGGCGAGTGATCGTTGGGGAGGCTGACATGTCAAGCCATGTCGTCGATCGAGGGCCCGGGGGTCCCGGCCAGCCTCTGGCGGCGGGGGCGGCTGACACGTTCCTGTCTTGACCAGCCTCCGGCTCGAGGGCTGACAGTGACACAGATGGAGGCTGGCAAGAGTGATCGGCGGAGAAGCTGATCTGACGCGTCCTTGTCTTGACTCTTGACCAGCCTCCTGCGGCGGCTGACGCATGTCGTGACGCTGTCGTATATAAAGATGTCTCATATGCGCACCGAGCCTCGAGAAAGCTACTGCTTTCCACGATTGGAGTAGCTCGAGGATGCGTTGATGACCCGTAGTTTGACGACCCGTAGTTTGACATGATCGCTCGCATAGGGCTGGCCGTAGAAAAAATGGTTGCCACAGCGCTGAGCTGTTCGCGATACCAGGCCCGATAGTATGCTCGCCCTTGAGCTAAGCCCTTATATACCCCCGGTGGGCTGACGATCGAGGCTGGCACGATCGTGAGTAATCATCGGGGAGGCTGACATGCCAATGGTCGCGAGGTCCCGGCCAGCCTCTGCCAGTGGCGAGGCGGCTGACACGGCGTTCTTGTCTTGACCAGCCTCCAGCGCAAGGGCTGACACCGATGCGAGGCTGGCACAAATGATCGTCAGAGAAGCTGATCTCGCGACATGCCCTATTGACATGCCAGCCTCTGGCAGCCGCAGCGAATGCACGTCCGTCGATCGACGAGCCTCCTCCGGCGGATCTGGGGGCTGACGCATGTCATGACGCTGTCGTATATAAAGGTGGTTCTCATGCGCACCGAGTCTCGAGAAGGCTGCTACTTTTCACCATTGGAGCAACCCGAAGATGCGTTGACGACCCGTAGTTTGACATGAAGAGGAAGATCGCTCGCACTAGTAGGCTGGGCCGATCGTAGGTATAGGAATGATGGTTGCCAGTGTTGGACCGAGCCAAGTGGCGCGCCGTCCTATCGAGCTGGAAAAGCGACGCCACGCAAGTGTCACAGACATCTAGCGTGGCCACCCTGAACTCCGAGACGTCCTTGCAGACTGGGGCATCGCCAAAGGTCCACGGGCGATTGAGAAAGGAGGTGGAGAAAGGAGGTGGAGAATGCCATCGGCATTGCGCCGCTCGCGAGACCAGGTCCGTATTTGTATTTGAATGCATACATCCTCGTCTTTGAGCTTGAGCCCTTATATACCCCCGCCCGGGCCTGTGGCTGACGATCGAGGCTGGCACCATCGTGGGTGATCGTTGGGCTGACTGCATGTCAAGCTACGTCATCGATCGAGAGGTCCCGGTCAGCCTCTGGCGGCAACGTGTCTTGACCAGCCTCCCGCGCAAGGGCTGACACCGATGGAGGCTGGCACGAGTAATCGTCTGAGAAGCTGATCTGACGTGCCAGCCTCCGGAAGCCGCAGCGAAGACACGTCCTTGTCTTGACGTCGATCGACCAGCCTCCTCCGAATTTGGCGGCTGACGCATATCGTGAGTCGGACTCGTGACGCCGTAGTATATAAACGGGGTTCTTATACGCACCGGGTTGCCAGAAGGTTACTACTTTCCACAATCGGAGCAGCTCGTTGACGACCCGTAGACTGACATGAAAAGGAAGACCGCTCGCACTGGGCCTTTCGTAGAAACAGTGCTTAACTGATACACGGCTTGCAGACAACACCAGGCCCGTATTCGTGTGCAACGCATATGCTCGCCCTTGAGCTCGAGGATCCTTATATACCTCTCCCTGTGGCTGACGATCGAGGCTGGTACGATGGCGAGTGATCGTTGGCGAGGCTGACATGTCAAGCCATGCCATTAATAGATTGAGAGGTTCCGGCCAGCCTCTGGCGGCGGCTGACATGTTCTTGTCTTGACCAGCCTCCGGCGCAGGGGCTGACACATGCCGAGTATAAAGTCGGCGCCATCATGCCCCGCTGCCCAAAACCCGGAGGCTGGCCGCCGTTGTCCGTTGGCTGACGTCAACGGTCCGGTGGCTGGCACGAAGGCGAGGAAGGTCGCGTCGATCGTATGGATGACAGCCGTCACGCTGACCGACGGCTTCCATGGTAGCTCATTTGCTATTAAGCGACGGAGACTCACCGTCAGGGAGATACATCTATGCAGCATCAAGCCGCCCTCGATATCAATCATGCGTGTATTGCGGTTTGTTGATATTCAACGGTCCTCGATAAGCAACAAGATAGCAACATTAGCATTCTATACAATACGGCCCCATGAACGTAGAGCATCCACCTACTATACACAGGTATCTACAGGTCGTACAGCACTCAACCGAGCCGAAAGCAGAGAGCACATCGACAACGAACACCACGAGCCACGTCCGACGATGCAGCCGTGCACACTTCAACAGCCACACCCGCCACCCTCGCTCGTATCGGCCTGCGGCTCGGACAGGTTAATGCTGCCGGGCATGCTCCCGCTATCCGTGTTGT